TTAGGGTTAGGGTTAGGGTTAGGTTAGGGTTAGGGTTAGGGTTAGGGTTAGGGTTAGGGTTAGCACTTTGGTTAGGTTGGAGAGGGCAGGCACCTCCTTGTGTGGCTTGCCTCCTTCTGAGCTCCCCACCCCCTCGGCCCATTAGGAACTGACCCCACCAGGGAGCTCCCGGCTGTGCCTTGGAAGGCTGTCTGCCACTCGTCAGGAACATGGCGATCCTTGCCATGACAAGTCATCGTCCTTGACAGACATCGGGCTCCTCCATCTCCTCGGCCTGTGCCTGCAGAATCAGCCTGGGCCTGCGCCGGGTAGACGCCAGCCCCTGTGGGTCTTGGGATTTAACGCCTGAGTGTTGAATAGTGGCTGCGCTTTGTCAAGGCAGGCTGATTTCCATGCAACTTCTGCCTGCTGGGTTTTGCTTTGCCTTCAGAATCATTGCAGAATGTGCCTGGCCCCCTTTCCGTGAAGAGTTCCTTCAGTCACTTGATGATAGACTTGCTCTTTCCCCCCTGCTGTTCCCCAGACTCCCCCCACCATTGCTTGGGGTGTGGGTGACCCGATGAGAGCATGGGTTACCCTGGTGTAGAGTGGGGAAGGCCAGTGCAGCAGAGTTGAGGTCATAGCTGAGGTCCCTTGCTTGGGGGCTGCCCAGACCGGTGTCCTCGCTCCCACGGGGGTCCCCCAGCCTTCCATGGAGGGGTGGTGTCCATTAGATATCCTGCTTTCTGTAACCACTCTCATCTACCCCCACTCCAGACTCTGTATCTCAAATTGTTTCATTGTCTCCCTATTCTTTTTAGCCCCAGACTGTCTGATCCAAACCCCATTTTCAACTGGGGACTCAAAACCAGGGACGGTATTGTTTACAAGGCCAACAGTCTAGGGAACTGAACCCAACTCCCGCTCCTCTGCCAGAGAGCCAGGGCAGGGTGGTGGTGGGGGCGCCAGGGTCATAGTGGGGCACTCTCTGGGCGCTGCTTGGAGAGTGGGGTGAGGCCAGAGAGCAGTCTGACACCCTGCCCTTGCTCCCCAAGACTAGGCAGAGAGGGCTGGCAAACCAGGTCTTAGGGGAGAAGCCTGGGCATCTACTTGCCGGTCTGGAAGTTTCTGCCTGCTCCCATCTGTTCACTGAGCAGCCGGAACTTTATTTTTTTCTTTTGGTGACCACACTGTCCCGAGTGTGCTTTAGGGTGGAGCCCTCTATCCTTGGGCATTGGGGGAAGGTTGGGTTTGGGGCAGTGAAGTATGGGGAACAAGCTGATGGTGAGTCTGGGTTAACAGAGTGGGGTGGGAGAGGCAAGCTTGGGGAGGGGGTGCAGAGACTGAGACACCCAGGTCTCAGGACCTGCTGTCCACATCCTTAGACAGCCCTGAAAATGAGCCCAAGCCTCCTTCCTGCTCTTCCTTCTTCCCTGAGTCTGCTGCTGACATGGGGCTGGGTGGACACAGGACAATGAGACCCAGGAATGACGGGTGCCCACCTAGCCTCCCCTGTGGCTTGGAGGGCTCTCAGTGAAGGCTAGAGCTGGCCGATTCCCTGCCCCTTCCCAGGCTGGAACTGGCAACAGCCTCAGGGAATGTCAGACCCGAGCCCCGCTGCCTGGCTTGGCCACCAGGGGGCGCGGCTGGGCTCTGGGCACCGGGCTGTCTCCCCTGTTTCCCTTTGCCTCTCCGCATCCCTGCACCTCTGCCCGGCTTCCTCTCAGCACCCCGAGTCCTTCCCATCCTCTCCTTCTCTCTGCCTTTTGAACTTTAAGACTACCCAAAACTTGAGAAAAGTTTCACATACAGTGCAAAAATGTTTTCCCCTGATCTATTTGAGAGCAATACCCACTCCCTACCCCAAACCTCGTTCTACAAGGGTGTTCTCCCACTTCATCCGATGCACTGCCAAACCGGGGGGGGGGGGGAGGTACTGATGCTGACACCCCACCGTCTCCCCACCTTCCGTCCCTCTTGGCTTGGCCCGCTGGCTGTCAATTCCCTTTAGCCTCCTGTCAGGACGTCTCGGTCCATCCTTGCCCTTCATGACCTTGTCTCTTGTGAGGAGGACCACGAGCCATTTATCTGCAGACTGTCCTCCAGTTTGGGTCGGTCTGATGTTTCTCGCGATTAGAGTCCCCTGGGCCTGTCTGGCAGGAATCCCGGAGCGAGTTGTCCTCGGAGGCGGATCCTTGCCGCATTAGGGCAGATGTTGATGGGCGTCCCTTGATGAAAGTGGAGTCTGCCAGGAGAAGTTACTTTCCCCCCTTTGTAATGTATAAATCCGATATGGAGGTGCTGTGAGGCTGGTAAATAATCTGTTTCCCCTCCAGCTTCCAATGTATTCACTTATTCCACGTGTCAGTGCGGGCTCAGGGAGCCGTTACTATCATTATGTATTTTGAGGAGCAGGTCTTCCAAGATTCAGCCTTTGGGGGCCCCTTTAAGCTGTGTCCTTTTGTCTGTCTGTCCCTCTTTGATTCTCTGGTTCCCTTTTCAGACTCTGTGAATTTCTATCTAATCTCATTCTCTGTGTGCACTTGTTGGTCTCAGTCTTTCTTTGTCTCTGTTTTTATCTTGCTTCTCTTTTTTTCCCCTCTGTCTGACTCTCGGTTGCTTTTTTCTGTATCTCTCCCCGCCCTCCATGCTTCTTTGTGTCGCTGACGCGATCTCATTTTGTGTTTTTATTCTCCGTGGCTCAGTCTCTTTTTTCCCAGGACTCCTCATGTGGTGTCTTTGGTTAAGAGTCTCAGGCACGCTGGGTTTGTGGGACACTGCCCTCGTCCCCTACACACGCTGCCTCTGTTACAGGGCAGGGAGAGAGGGGCACCCCTGAACCCCCAAACCTGCCTGCTCTAAGTAGGTTCTGCCATCCGCTGCATTAAGACAAGATGTAAGAGCTTTAATGGAAAGGAACTTTAATACAATGAGTCTACAACACAGAAGACAAAGAATAAAATTTCTAAATCAAACTCCCAAAGTTACCCATCCCCTTGTGAGTAAAAGTCTATGTGACCAGACAAGTCTGGGAGGAAAAGAGAAAAATCAAAATTAAGATAAAAGCTGCCACAGTCACCCTCCCCACAGGCCTCTCAGCCACATCTGTTTCACCTAGGCCAGGACCGGAAGCAAGCAGTTTCTTCACACATCTCTGCTCCACGTGGCTCCCTCAGGTCTCCTTCTGGCTCTCCATCCTGCTTCCTTCTTCAGATGCCTGCTCTTCTCTGCTCAGCTCCACCCTCCTTCTGTGTGGGGCAGGGAACCTGGACCTTCCCCTTTCCTGGGGACCACCTTTTTACACCCCCACCAACCCCTGTTCTAGAGTTGGGACGCGCTGGACTAGGGGCTGAAGTGGGGCCTGGGAAGGGCACATCCCTCTCCCTAGGCCTGAGTGTTCTGTCCCGCATCTGTGCAGAGAGGGGTCAGCAGACCCCGTGCTCGGGAAGGGGGCCAGCAGCTGCCTTCCCCTGGGCCCTGTGTCTCCTACTGCTGCAAAAGCCTGGGAGTGAATCTGGTTAAAGCCCAGGGTGGGGGCCTTGGTGAGCAACAGTGCCTGTGGGCAGGGGAACTTCCTTGGGGAGTCCACTGAACCAGGAGCTCCTTGGCCTGTACACCTGGCTCCAGGGGGAGGACAGTTGTCGTAAGCATTGTGGGTGCTGAGCTCTGTAGCTTGGAGTGTGACCCCCATGTGGAAGGTTGTCAGAATAGGACAGTGCCCGAGGTTGGGTGTGGTGCCCAATCTTGAGCTATCAGGAAGGAGAAACAGACACCCACAAGACTCAGACTGCCAGCCTACCTCTTATCTCGTGGGGGGCATGGTTGCAAAAAACAATGCAGTCATGCATCTGTTAAGGATGGGAAAATGTTCTGAGAATTGCCTCCTTAGTTGGCTGTGCGAACGAACGTTTAAATGTAGAAATGTTTATCCATCACTAACCAAAATATCATCAAACACCCCTTGACTATATTTAACATATCAATATTTTTCATAATGCAAAGGATAGCAAATAAAAATAAAGATGGAAGAAATCTTCCGGGTGGAACTGAGGTGCTAATCAGGGTGAGAGAGTTGAGGGACAGGACTTCTGGGGATATGGGTGAAAACAGCAGAATTATCAACAGTAGATGGGCAAGTGAAATTGCTGCATTCATAGGCTGGAACACTACACAGTGATGAAAGGAAGACGCTTGTGAAAAAACCCCACAAATTAGTGAGGAGTAAAAGAAGCCAGACACAGAGCGCGTCTGATTTGTCTTGAGGGTAGTGAAATCCTCTGTGATTCCATTTATACAAAGTCAAGAAATCTGACACAAGAAATCTTTGCGATAGAAGTAACAGTGGTATTTACCCTGGGGGGTATTGCCTGGACAGCCACCAAGAATCCTCTGGAGAACTTTGCTGTGTGCCTTTCCAATAAGGAAATAGAATAAATTGATCAAGCAACCAAGGAAGGGGTTGTGACCTCTGAATGCTGGGGTCTCCGGTTGTCAGGGCCCCATGTGCTGGCCCACCGAAGTCTGGGCTTCTGGGTGACAGCCCCAGCTTTCTCCCTGGGCACCTCCTTCCAGAAGTGGGCTCAGGTCCTTCACACGGGAAGGGGCTCTCCGCTGTCCTTTCCCTAGCCCTTACCAACATCCTCCCCGTCCCCTCAACTGCTACCTCCCAGCCTTCTGCCCAGCACTGATTACTGCGTCTCTCCTCCCACAGCCAGAAGACTTGGAATCCCCCAAGACTCACCATTTCAAGGTGAAGACCTTCAAGAAGGTGAAGCCCTGCGGTATCTGCCGACAGGTCATCACTCGGGAGGGCTGCGCCTGCAAAGGTGAGAAGCTGGTGGGGCCCCGGGGAGTGGGGTGCACAGACATCTGCACAGCCCTGATGACCCAAGGCCGGTTTTGGCGTCCTGACCTGGTGCCTGGCTCTCGTCTGGGAGGGGACACTGAGCATACCGAACAGCAAGCATGTGGGGTGCCGGGGTAGCACAGGGCTGGTGAGGGAAATGGCAGGTGGCTTGTATGCAGATGGCATGACCAGGTCATGTGAATGGCAGGCAGATGGCGTGTGAAAGGCACATGGCAGGTGCACGGATAATCCGTGGAGACACGTGGCTGGGGTGTGCATGGTGTGCGGATGTGGGGGTGCATATAGATGACGTGTGAGTAGGTGTGGCTGGCCTGGAGGTGGAGTGCCTGGCACGTGGAAGCTGTGTGAGTGGCGCGTGTCTGGCCCCGGCACTACCGCCAAGGCGCCAAGCCGCAGGCCTCCTCTTGCGGCGGCTTCAAACTGAGGCTAAGAGGACTCGGGGGACACAGGCCGCCGGCTGTGCGGCCTTTGCCCTCGCTGTTGTCACTTGCACCACCAGCAGCCCGGGCCGTGGTGTCACCGTTAGGGTGACTGACACCATCACCCACCTGATGGCTCACCAGAGGCTCCCTCTCCTCACCCCGTCTCCCTATCCATCACCGGGGTGCCCCCACGCAGATTAAGCTGCTGAAGCCCTTTGGAGGGCCTTGAGGCTCCTGGTATCTACCACCCTGATGAACTGCAGCCTTCATTTCCTGCCCCCCCCAAACAAAGACCCCTTCCTGTGCTGCTCCCTCTCTTGCCCAGCAGCCTCTTGTCTCTGCAGCCCCCCAAGTCCTTACTCAGACCAGCTGCACCTCACAGGCTTCCCAAATATGCCAAGTATGACAAATATGCCACCTGGGCTGGGCTCTTTCTTGCCTGGAGCCTTCGCTCACCTCACGTGGTTCTCTCCACCTGGACTCCCCGTTTCAGTTTCAGCTGGGTGTTGCAGGTTAGAGTGGCACAGGGAGTGTGTGTGTGTGTGTGTGTGTGTGTGTGTGTGTGTGTGTGAGACGTCCCTGGCAGGGCCTATTTAGGGGTAGAGGACTATGGTCCTTAATGAAGGACTGGGGCACCCAGCCAGCTTTTAGGGGCCCAGCAACAACTCTTGCAATTCCCAAGCCAGCCACGTGATGTCACGCTACTCCCAGGAATGCTGGTGGGCACCGGCAGCATTGCAGATGGGCTTTTGCATTTTCTGTAAATCACCAGCCCCTCACCCCACTAACTGTGCTCGGTCAGTCCCGGACCTCACCCCAGTTCTGTCCTTTCACAGAATGCCTTCCCTTCACCCCAGTGACACCCTGGGCAGCGAGGGGATGGGGACGGAAGGAAGTCTGGGGACACGCACCGGGGACCGTGGGCGTCTCTGAATGGTCTGTGGTAACCTGAATTCACCAGTCAGCGTGGCTTGAGGGCCCGGGCTGAGGAGGGGATCTGACCTGGTGAATGAAAGTTTCCTAAGATCAGCCGAGATGACCCTTGCTACACCCAGTCTGTTTCAGAGCCTGGCCCTGCCAGTAGGAACCGGTGTGGGGGGCAGGTGTCCAGTGGGTGTCCCCAGGCTGGTGTGGTGGCTTTCGCTGAGCTAATGAGAAGAGGGAAAACCAGGGTCACCCTCTGGAGGTCCCACTGGGTGTCAGGGTGACGGACAGACTAGGGCCAACACAGAGACCTCTTGGCCCTGCAGCAGCAGAGTGGGCAGCCTTGGTGAGGCTTGGGTCGCTAGCCCTGCAGGCAGTGTTGGGGTCACAGGCTTCCTGGTGGAAGATGCAGGAGTGGACCAGCTCACTGTGCTTTGGAACTAGGGAGCTGTGGTGACATGAGGCTCATAGACCTTCCTACCCACCCACTCAGTCCTTCTATCCATCCACCCCTTCCCTGCTCCCTCCATCCACCCACCCCTCCCCTGCTCCCTCTCTCCATCCACTCACCCCTCCTCCCTCCACCCATTCATCCACCTATCCTTCTATCCATCCATCCACCCATCCCCCATCCTTCCTGCATCCTTCTCTCCCTCCCTCCAACCACCTGTCCTCCCTCCACCCTCTCATCCACCCACTGCCACCAGGTATGACTGTACAGGTTGTTCCCTGCGTGAGGGCAGTTGTGGACTTCATTCTGCAAGCCCGACCCAAAAGGTTCGCTCTGCTCTCGGCTCCTCCTCCAGTCCTTAGTCTTGGGCCACCACACCCAAGGTGGCCCTCTGGGTTCGTGCTGAGATGGTGGGTGGGGTGAGGGTATGAAACAGCAGGGCTCTGAACCCCCAGTCTCCACAGGCCTCGAGGGCACAGCTGCTGGCGGCAGGAACCGTGGGGACCTTTTCCTAGATGGAATCTGATGGACCAGGCATTGTCCCTGTTGACTCCCTAGGGCTCTGCCCTATGGCTTGGGTGGTCCTTGTGTCCACCCCCTGCTGTCCTACATCCCACTGTTTAATGTGACCAGGTAGAAGGGGGTAGAAGTGTGGAAGGGAGTCAAGGAACAGGGTCTAGTCCTGGTTTTGGGATTCAAAGACAAGCAGAGGATCAGTGGGGATGACAGTCAGCCAGGCAAGGGCCGCCGGCCTCCGCTTTGCTCACCTGCCTCCTCCTGTGTGCTGTGGGGTAATAATGAGCCCTGCTCTGGGTCTTGCAGGGCTTGTGGTGAGGAACACTGAGGTTCTGTGTGTGGCTGGGACTAAGTGTGTCCATGTCAGGGACTGAGCTCCCTGTGAGAGAGACAGAGATGGATGAGACATGGGTGAGGAAGCCAGGGCCTTTGTGAGGGGCCTGGGCTCTTTCAAGTCCTGTCCACAGGCTGTGTGACCTCAGAGAAGGCACTTCACTGCTCAGGCCTCAGTTTCCTCATCAATAGGTAAAGGGTTAGACCGGGAAAGCTCACTGAGGCCCAGATAGTGGGAGGGCTTTGAAAATCTCCTTGCTGGAGTCTGCAAAGGCTGCACAGCTGTCTCAGTGAAGGCTACTACTTCCCCATCTCATGCATCAATGCAGCCACCTGACCATCAGCGACTGTGCCCACCTCTGGTGAGGGCTGTGCCAGGTACCAGTGTCGAGACCCGGCCCTGACCCGGGAAGGCAGACATGCCATCAGCCAGCACATGGTGAAGGAGCGGACACAGAGGTGTGTGTGAAAGGCTGTCTCTGACTCAGCAGAGATGTTCCTGTCAGGCTGCAGCAGGGAAGGCATATGCAGGCTGGGTTTTGAGGGATGCCTAGGAGTTCAGTTTAAATAGCAGGTTTCCTTGTCCAAGGACACTTGGCTTCCCGCTGGGATGAAGCCCACAGGGAGATACTAGAACGTCACCCAAGAGCCCAGGCTCCTCTTTGGGCTGGATCATGAGCCAGGCTTAGACCACAATCCTCCAAAGTACCTCGGGTTGGGCTCAGGTTCCCTAGAGGGAGGTGCAGCCAGGTAAGACACTCCAGCTCTCATGGGACAAGCCCATCCAGAGCCGTTGCTACTTAGATCTGGGGACACCTTGTTTCAGGAGAGCTGTTCCTCATTCTGTTGCTTCATTGGGAACCCCAGCTTCTACTCTGTGTCTGAAGACCTTCTTGGGGTCCTTAGAAGCAGCCTCCTGCCACCGACTGGCATTGTGGTCTTGGGTAAGACACTTCACTTCTCTGGGCCTGCTTCCTCCTTTAAATGAAGGGTTGGATGAGATCAGAAGTTCTAAGCTGTTTCAAGGGAGCTCTAAGTTATTTTTTGAGGTGCCTTAGGGCTCAAGAATGTAATCCAAGGGAAGGCTTAAGGAACTTGGGCTCTGGAACCCTTCTTACTTTAGTCAAAACAGCTCTGATTTTAGGGGTTAAAAATATCAGAAAGCATGGTGGGATGGGTTTGCATTTGGGTCAGGCATCCTGGGTACAAATCCCAGGTCTGCCCTTTCCTACTGAGATCTTAGGTACATTACGTCCCTCTGTGCCTCAGTTGCTTTGGCTTTAAAATGGGATTCCTGGGGCTTCCCTGGTGGCACAATGGGTTAAGCTGCAACACTGTGACGTTATCCATAGCCACTGCAGCACGAGTTCGATCCCCAGGTAGGGAGCTGACCCACTTGGCCCAGCAGACCTCTCCTGTTTTGCCCGCTGCTCCCCTCAGCAGTGTACTTCATCGATCTGCCTGCTCTGCTCCCCACTCTGTCTCTGGTGAATCTTCTCATCCCTCGCACCTCTGGTTTAACACCCCAGCTCTTGTATGCATAAATACATTAAACAAATCTTAAAAAAAATGGAACTCCCCACTCACCCCCTTTCTGGGGTTACTGCAGAGATTATATAAAATCCATAACTGCTCAGAACCGAGCTTGGCTTAGTGAACACTCATGAAATGTTAACCAGTGTCACTGAAACTCCACATAAGAGCCCAACAAATGAGGACTTTGCAAAAAATCAAAGTTTGAAAAATGCAACACATCTAGGTTTGTTTCTTGTTCAAATTTCAGAGCCACTTTGTACCCTCCCTCCTTGCCTGTCTTCCTTAAGCTGTCTCCCATTCGTCAGGCTGCTCCAGAGAAACAGAACTAGCAGGATTCTAACAGGTGGATGGGTGGAAAAGTAGATGGATGGACAGAATTGACCCAGCTGATTGTGTAGGGTTAGCAAGTTCAAAATCTACAGGTTAGGCCCTAAAATGAAGACCAGGGAAGAATTACAGTTCAAGTTCAAAACTGGTTTGCTGGCAGATTCCTTCTTGCTTGGGGAAGTCCGTCTGTGTCCTACTTGAACTACCTGGATCAGGCCTGCTCACGTTAGGGAAGGTCATGAGCTTCACTCAAAGCCTATTGGCTCAATGTTCATCTCATCCAGTAAGTCCCCTCACAAAAACACACAGAATAATGTAGAACCAATATCCGAGTACCATGGCCTGGTTGACACAGAATAGAAACCATCACACACCTCCAGGCCAAGCTGTGGAGATGAGTGGGGCTGGGGTGGGGTGGGAGGGGCCTGGTGGGCAGGTGGGCACTGGCTG